TATGTGGGTGGATTTTGATTTGAAAAAACAACATGGATTTTTCACTGCAGGATCATGGATTCATGAAGTGATGTTAAAACATCTTAATGATTCATTTGTTTCTTACAAACAGGTAGCTTTTAACTTTGACAGATGTTATTGGATGGACTGGAGTGGTGTGGATTACTTGTGGATTATTGTGATGTTTTTATCAGCTGTTTGGACTCTCATTCTGACGGCACCCATTCACTGCAGAGCATCCATTGGTGAGCAAGTGATGAAATGCTACATTTCTCCAAATCTGATGAAGACACAAACTCATCTACATCTTGGATTGCCGGAAGGTGAGCACATTTTCAGCCAATTAAAATTTTTAGGTAAACTATTTCTTTAAATGAACATACTTTCGATGTTGGGGAGTTGAAGCATTGCATGTTTGCATCTCTCTTCCCGCTGGTTTCTGCTGATGAGGTCGGCTGAAGGTTGCATCATTGGCCTGGCTTCTGTCCGTCCTAATTTCCTCCGCTTGACCTTTGACCCCCAGGCTGGAGGTGCGAGTCTGTCTCTTTCCAGCTCCTGTCAGGTTTCCCCTGCAGCTGAGGAAACACATCAAGCAGCGGCGTTGAGGCACGTGCCGTTTCCCCGCACCTGCTGCACTTGTCTTTCAAGAGGTGACTTCAGCTCAGCGGGCCGCCGTTGGTTGTCACCTCTCTGTGATTAGGGTCACACCGCGCGACCTTTGGCTGCTGGCGAGGAGGGTTGAGTATCTGTGGGCAGCCGATGGGAAGGGCAGCGCGGGGCACATGCGTTTCGACGCCGTCAAGCTGCTGCTCAGAGCCATTGTGGCATTTGTTCTCAGAGCTCGTATATAAAATATATAATCTCGAAATAGATGTTACTTTTAAATTCCGTTTTTTGAAAATCTCCCATTGATGTACATTTATAGAATGTTTGAGATTCCAAATGTAACTGACAGCCATGATGTCACTGTGGTAATTTGAATTATATATTTGGTTCCCCTTCAGGAACTCGAGCTCCGTTGAGATTCGCTTTGGGAACGCCCTTGCGTGACCGTGTTCTGAAGCACGTGTCAAATCAGTCCAATGGAGCAGCGAGACGTCACGAGCAGGGTGACGTAAGCACCAGAAAGTATAAAAGCGCATCCAGCAGAGCGCAAACCAGCTTCTGCTCTTCAGTAGCGCTCTGTGTATGTGTCTGTCTATTTACGGTTGTCTGTCCGCACAAGCATATATAAAAGACAATCATGAAAAAGTCTATGGCGAGTGAATGGCATTACAAACGCTGTGTTCCTCCCTGCCCACGATATCCAAAGCGAATCTCGACGCAGCGTCTCGTTCCCTCGGGGAACCATGGTTACATACGTAACCTAGAGACGGTTTCTTTCTTGCATGTTTCTATCTTCTGCATTAGAAAAGCAATCATTATTCAATATGCAAATTACTGAATTGTGATTGGTTTTCTCTTGCAGAAGATGGACTGCAGAACACAGACATCTTGAGTTAAACTGTTTACCTTTAAGTTTCTACACTTATACTACTAGTTGTGTTTTGTTGTCAGGTTCAGACAGGATTTGGTTTTTCAGTGAAATCTTGATCTTGTTTCTCATAATTTCTATGTCATCTCCAGTTTCCCAGTTGATGTGTCCTTCAGGCTGAGATGCTAGTGGAATATCATACTCCCATATGTCGACCCGTATTCATTAGCCGAGACCTCATTTCTTAAAAAAAACATCTGTCCAATTTTATTTAAAGTCAACATGGATTGAAATTTGACCCTGTTTACTTTATTTAGACATGCTGCTGGTCTTATTGTGAAATCAGTGCATGTTATTGTAAAAATAATATTTGCCTTCATAATCTTTCATGAAAATTTAATAGCTTGCTCTTAACACATTTTGTTTGTGTACTTGTTTCTCTCCTAAGTATCGTAGAGAAGTTATAAAATGCCCATGTAAAACGTTTTGCACTGCAATAAAGCTTGACTAACATTACACTTCCATTCAAAAATAAATTAATATTTTTATTCAGCAAGGATGTATTAAATTGATCGGAAGTGACAGTACAGACAATTATAATGTTGCAAAAGATTTCTATTTCAAATAAATGCGGTTTTTAAAACTTAAAAAAAATTAAATGTACCATGGTTTCCACAAAAATGACACTGTTTTCAACATTGATAGTAATCAGAAATATTTATTAAGCAGCAATGATTCTGAACGATCGTGTGACACTGAAGACTGGAGTAATGATGCTGAAAATTCAGCTTTGATTAAGAGGAATAAATTACATTTTAACATATATTCACATAAAAACCAGTTATTTTAAGTTGTAATAATATTTCACAATTTTACTGCTTTTTCTGTATTTTTGATCAAATAAATGCAGCTCTCGTGAGCAGAAGATACAAAAAACCCAAACTGTCGAACAGTAGTGTATAAGTGGACTATAGTTTCCCATTTTAAGTCTTTGTTTATAGACTTCTACATATTTTGTTTGTGATTCGTGTTTATTCATCTCAGCTCGTTTCATCAGAGAAAACACAACTGTCTGGCAAGTCGTGCTTGCGTTTATCTTTTCTGTGTGTTTCTCTCTCGGTGTCTGTGTGTGTCAGTCTGATCATTACTCGCGGGGGCAGATTACAGGAGAACAGAGGAGTCCGGCTGCGCTGCGGCAGCCTGTGTGAAGCTGACCGCCTCGGTTCGCTTGTGTCCCTGCGACGGGCCTGCAAAGCTCTGATGGGATTGCAGCCAACAAAGAGACAGGGCTCTCAGTATGCCATCAGCGTACGCGAGCCAAAAAGTGTGGTTTGGGTTTTTTTCCCTTGGTTTGAAGTGTCGTTTTGAGCAGAATGAAAGACACACTCGATCCTGTTCCGATTATGAAGCTACAAAGCGTGAAACCGGAGCAGAGAGTGGATCTGTCCCGACCACCGAAAGCACAAAGAGCGTTTGAACGGATCCTCTTAGACCATCATTGTGGCCACAAATGGAAATCTGGTGAAAGATGTAGACTGTAAAGTGAGCGTTGGTAACGCGAGATCATCCCGTGAGAGTCAGGAGAGGCTGGGAATTGTTTTTTGGCTCAGGCAAGGGCATTGTGAGATGACTAGAAAAGATTCGCTTTATAGAGAGAAATTGGAAGGTGTTTGTGGTCGAAGCGGTTAACTTTGCTTCGCTCTCAGCAAAACATTATTAGCTTCTAAATCAAGGTGTTGTGGCATAAATGATTATTAGTGGTGTTTGCTAAGTCAATCTTGAGGTTAATGGTGTGATGAAACCTCTAACACGAAGTATTAAAGTTCAGCGTGTGCGTTGTCCTACGGCGTTTGTGCAGGAACGAGTCCTCAAATCAGCACTGTTGTTATTTCAGGAAGTCATCAGACATGTTAGTCCAGGGTTTTTGCACCAAAAACATATATAAGCATAACATATATTACATAAACCCTGCAAAATGTTAATAATTAAAGCGTAATAGTTTAATTGATAGCTTTTCAGGGCAGTGCTGAATAAAAAAGCAACATGCAATTTTTATGATCCCTCGTTTTTTTAATTATTATTAATTTGCAGATTCTGTGAGGTGTATGTGAACTTATGACTAAGTGAAATTTTTCATGCATATTTCTCACCCTCCCTCTGAATTACAGGTTTTCTGTGCCTTTATATTTAAGACTTCTTTATGTAAATGAAGTCAAACAGTTATCTACATTTTTGTATATCTACTTCTTCCAAAGTGATGGTTTGTGTGAAAAACAGACCCAAATTTTAATTGATAGCTTTTCAGGGCAGTGCTGAATAAAAAAGCAACATGCAATTTTTATGATCCCTCGTTTTTTTAATTATTATTAATTTGCAGATTCTGTGAGGTGTATGTGAACTTATGACTAAGTGAAATTTTTCATGCATATTTCTCACCCTCCCTCTGAATTACAGGTTTTCTGTGCCTTTATATTTAAGACTTCTTTATGTAAATGAAGTCAAACAGTTACATGTAGAAATGCATCACTAAATAAAAAATTAGATTTCTTTTTGGAGTTGGAGTTTGCAAACCCATTGCATGAGTGTTTATGCCTATTTTGTGCTAATTCTATGCTTATTTTTCAGCTTCTCTCTGAATTAAAGAGGCTGTTTGCTTTTCATTATTTAAGACTTCTTTATGTACAGTACATATAGATCTCTGATTATAATAATGAAGTTGTTGATTATGATTATGATTGGTTAACATCAGGGTGCTTTACAAGTTATGTAAATGACATTTTTGTTATCTACTTCTTCCAAAGTGATGGTTTGTGTGAAAAACAGACCCAAATTTAAGTCATTATTTGATTAATTCATATTTAATATTGATTTGCATACTTCAAAACACAATGATGGTCATTTGTTCTATCAAATAATGTCCTGTTAGTCATAATTTGATTTTCTCTTTAGGTAACACTTTATTTTACGGTGTCCTTGTTACACATGTTGCATGTACTTACTATTGTAATAACAATACATTATGCATAATTCCATGCAACTAACCCTAAACCAAACCCTCATCCTAACGCTAACCCTATAGTTTGTACATGTAGTTGATTAATATTACTCAGTACTTATATGTATAATTACACTGTAACAAGGACACCTTGTAATAAAGTCTAACCTGTCTTTTTATCTCACAATCTAAGAATAAAAGTCTGAATTGTGAGAGATAAAGAGAGTTGTGAGATAAAAATGTTGAAATTACCATTTTTTTATTCCATGGTGGAAATAAGCTTCCATATTGCCTGTGATTTACATGCGACTCTCATACTGTCAGAATTCCTCCTATATGTCACTTAAAAGTGCACCGTTAAAAGTCACTGTTTCCCACTCCAGGATCAGATAAAGCCAACAGCAAGGTTTTCACTCCGCACAAACTGTCTATAAAGGCTGCATGTGTAATGCTGAGTGATTGCGCTTCTCTGTATCTGATTGTCCTTGAGATCAAACATCAAATATGATATGTCCTGTTTTTTTCCACCAGATGCTCCCCGAGTCGCTGTGAACACGGAGGGAGATGCTCACAGTCGTGGAGCACGTTTCACTGCAACTGTTCTGCCACGGGCTACAGCGGAGCGACCTGCCACAGCTGTAAGAACGCTTCTGAAATACAGACCACTTCCTGCACGCACTTCAAACGCTTCCTGTGCACTGATTCCTTCCACACTCAGAGTCAAGGACAGATCAGGAGACAAACGCGGAGAGAATAGTTACTGCTTCCACATGATGTTCCCTAAACTTCACTATTTGACCACTGTTTATGATTAGTCAAGTCAAGTCACCTTTATTTATATAGAGCTTTTAACAAGTATCAAATAGGAAAATAGCGTGTCAACGCAAAAGGACAATAGTAAACACTCAATTTTCAGTTAAAGGCAGTTCATTATTGAATTCAGTGATATCATCATCCAACTCAGTTCAGTTTAAATAGCATCTGTGCAATCAAGTCGACGATATCGCTGGAAATTAAGTGTCCCCAACTAAGCAAGCCAGAGGAACCAAAACTCCATCGGTGACAGAATTGAGAAAAAACCAGGCTCAGGCAGACGAAACGAACCAGCAGATTGTTCCATGCTGCAGCAAAGCTGGATAAAACTCAGTTACAGTGATAAGCATATGATCCTATTACATATTACATCATATCATGTTACAATATAAACACCATAAAGTAAACCTTGTCATAGTTCATCAACAGTCAACCATAAGTAATTGTTTGTAACAAATGATTGCAAACGGATCTGAAACTGCAACCCTGTAGAGTGTGCAACAGCGCCATGCTCATATTTATTTAATTAAATCAAAGACTTTTGAGGCTTAATAATCATATTAGGCTGTACAGTAATTCCTGTTTTTCCATATGAAAATGTAAGATGTCCTAAAATGATAGTTAAGACATCTGTTATACAATTTAAGATACCTTAAAAGCATAAATGCATTTTACAGTTTGCACACATCTATTTGGAGTTGCAAATGCAAGTGAAATGCTCTGTATGCATCATACTTGATTATGTGTGGATGTGTTTATCATTAATTGCATAAGTTTGCAGATGTCATTTTGCAGCCTATAGTAGTTTTAATATCTATTGCGTTCTGAAACATAATATTTTCATTGCATATTGAGCACTTTTATCACAGAACATCAAGGCAAATTGAATTCCTCATGATATGAGGCCTGTAAGGAAACAATATAAAACATGACGCAAGGTCGGGCGCTCATTAGCTGCAGAGCTACAGCTTTACACGCTTATGGATTTACACAGTCCTCAATGAAGTGAAAAGGCCCGCTTTTGGTGCCGTAAAAGAGAGTGGAACAGATTTGGGCTGAAATGAAGCACACGTCACTCAAATGTTTAATGGCGGCAGCATTTAAGACGTTCACACTTGAGCTGTTTTAAAGGGTGAGCGTTATTGAGAGGGACTTTATAGAGCCGCCCCATAATTAGATCTCACATAAAGCTGCTGTCAGTCAGAGGAGCGTTTGAGGTTTAAAAATCAAAGGGCATTTCTGCAGCACTGTAGCTGAATATATCTGCACTTTCACTGTTTTATATATTTATATGGTTTTAATGGGGTTCTGATGTTGACAAAATTGAAATTGAAACCGAGTAATGTTTTCTCCAGGTGCTTAAAACATATAAATATAGATATATGGATATTAAATAAATAAATAGAATAAATGGAATAATTATTATTATTATTATTATGCTTTCATAATAATACATGGAGGGAAATATACATATATATATTTTAATTAAAGTACATATTACATATTAAAATTACATATTTTTTATTTTAATTACTAGGCTTGTGATCAGGTTATAATAAAGCTTTATTAGTTCTCATAATCTCAAATCTGTCCATACAAATCTTCTATATGTATGTCTTGTATACACAATTATACATATAATAGAAACTGATTAGTCTTGTTTTGCTTTCAAGGAAAAATATATAACCAGAGTATCAATTAAAATGAAACAAACAAGCAAACAATACATTTTTTGTGTGTGTGTGTATATATATATATATATATATATATATATATAAATTTTAATTACTATTCTGGGCTTGCAATCAGGTTGTTATGAAGCTTTATTAGTTCTCTTAATCTCAAATCTGTCCACAAAAATAATACTCTTCTGTCTCATGCGTTTGAAATATGAAACAGATTGCATATAGATTGTAATTATTTTCCTTGAAAGTGAAACCTACAGTAATCCATTTCCTCCCTAAGCACCTTAATAGATAGTTAACTTCCCCCGTTTGTGTTACATCATGAATTCAGAGCTACGAAACAGATGCAGATGGTCATAATTAAAGCTGCTTCGTTTGCCTGAGCGCATGCAAAATTGATGGCAGCACACTTCAGATGAAACACTGCCTTCATTTTATAATACAAATGCACTGGGAGGTTTCATTTCACAAATATGCCATGCAAAATTAAGTGGACAAAATATGATTTTCATAATTTGCCTCTGAATGCAAAGCTTGCATAATATTACAAAATATATTATGTGGAAAATTTCTGAAAATGAATGTGAGCCAAAGAGAAAAAAGTTGCAGTAAGTTCAATCTCCAATGTAACACAATTAGAACATATAATGTGATCGGTGGCATAATGAAGTGAGTTAGAAAACCATGTCAACAACCTGCCTTCACAGTCGCTTCACGCTAATTACATTTCCGTTAAAAGTTCAAAACAGCACAGATAAGAAAGTGCATCTACATACTCATTTAAACACTTTACTGGCTCGTGTTTGGTGAGGAATGTTAGCAGATGAACATGAGATCCAGCAGTGATTGACAGGGATCATTCTGGAACATTGATTTAGATCAACACATCTGCTTAACCAATCACATCGTTCCTTCCAGGTATGACATCGAGAGCATCAGAGTGAAAATCTCCCAACACAGCTGTGATGATCAGATCTCTTTTAGCAACGAATCAGTATTGGAGAATAACAAAGTAGACACTACTAACTTAACTACAGCTTTCAGTTGCATGCAGTGATATTATAGTCAGCTAGAACTAAAACCATTAAAACATTTTTTTACTTGAAATAAAATAAACCTTAACTGAAAGATTTTTTTTTTTTTTAACTTTCATTTATTTCAGCTAGTTGCTAAAGTAACTTTAAAGTAAATTTTTCATTTTCATTTAGTTTACCTTGTATTAAAATAACTAAAATGGAAAGATAACAAATAAATAAAAACTGTATAGACATTAAAAAACAAAAATTAAAAAATAATGACGAAAAAACTTAAAATATGTATTATATTAATATTATAGAAATACAAAATATTGTTTGTAGTGTTAATAATATTTAGTTAAATGCTGCTGTTTGTCCTCTGTTTTTATTTAGTCATATACATGTACAGTAAATTAATTGTGTTTAGTGTAAATTTGTGTATTAATTTATTAGTTTTGATGGTATTATCCTAATTATTGTGTGCCCGATAAATACTCTGCTCTTTTAAATTGAATTATGTTTTCATTACATAATTCAATGCAAGACACTATAGGCAAAACCATTGTGCTTTCATACAATATTTTTTTATAAATTTTGAGATTTTTTTTTTTCCATGCAGACGTCTTTCAGACTACTGGAAAGAAAACATCCAAAAAAACATTTTGCTTATATA